ATGTAATCATGCATTACTGTTTTTGAAAGTATGTAATTCTAATTAAAAAGTGGAAGTTGTCAAAAATCCCTTTAGTTTTTTAAAAATTTATTTTTGTTCTTTTATTTTGGAATATACTTCCCAATTTTGGAAGTGGCATCTAGTTGTTGTTATTACTGCTTTTAAAAAAAGTTGTATTGAGATATAATTCACCTACCATATAATCTACTCACTGAAAATGATATAATTCAGTGGTTTCTAGTATATTTACAGATATACGCAACCAACCCCTCAGTTAATTTCATCACCTCAAAAAGAAACCCTGTATCACTCCCAACATCCAGCCCTAAGCAACCATTAATTTACTTCCTATTTCTGTAGATTTCCTTGTCTGGACAGTTTATATAAATAGAAAAATATAATACATGGTCTTTTGTGACTGGCTTTTTTCATTTAGTATAACACTGGCAAGTTCATCCATGCTGTAGCATGTGTCAGTACTTAAATCTTTTTTATGGCTGAATAATATTCTGTTGTATGGTTACACTACATTTTGTTATCCATTTATCAGTTGATGGACATTTGGCTGTTTCTACCTTCTGGCTATTTTGAATGATGCTGCTAAAAACATTCATGCACAAGTTTTTGTGTGGACATATGTTTTCATTTCTTTTGGTTATACATGTAAGAATGGAATTGCTGGGTCATATGGTAACTCTATTTTAACTTTCTGAGGAACTGTAAGACTGTTTTCCAAAGTGGCTGGACCATTTTACATCTCGCCAGCATTGTAGGAAGTTTCTAATTTCTCCACTTCCTTACCAACACTTGTTATCTGACTTTTTATTTCTGGCCTTTCTAGTGGATGTGAAATGGTATCTCATTGTGGTTTTGATTAGAGTAGAAATTAATAAAATAGAGAATATAAAAAAATAGAGAACAATCAATGAAATTGAAAGGTGGTTCTCTGAAAAGATCAAACTGGCAAACGTTTAGGGAGAATATATTTATAAATAATGCCTCTGATTAGGGCCTAATTTCCAAAATATATAAAGAACTCATACAACTCAATAGCAAAAACACAAACAATCCAATTAAAAAATGGGCAGAGGACCTGAACAGACACTTCTCCCAAGAAGACATACAAATGGCCAACAGAGATATGAAAAGATGCTCAACTTCACTAGCTATTAGGGAAATGCAAATCAAAACCACAATGAGATACCGTCTCACATCTGTTAGAATGGCTATTATCAACAAGACAAATAGTAAGTATTGGAGAGGTTGTGGGAAAAAAGGAACCCTCATACACTGTTGGTGGAAATGTAAATTGGTACAACCACTATGGAAAACATATGAAGTTCCTCAAAAAACTAAGAATAGAATTATCATTTGACCCAGCAATCCTTCTTTTGGATATTTATCCAAAAAACCTGAAAACATTTATCTGCAAAGATATGTGCATCGTGATGTTCATAGCAGCACTATTCACAGTGGACAAGACAAAACAACTGAAGGGTCTATTGACAGATGACTGCGTCAAGAAAATGTGGTACATATATACGATGGAATATTACTCAGCCATAAAAGATGAAATACTGGCATGCGTAACAACATGGGTGGATCTTGAGATTATCATGCTGAGCAAAATAAGTCAGACAGAAAAAGTTGAGAACCATATGATTTCACTCATATGTGGGATATAAAACTGAAAGCAACAAATGAACAAGACAAACAGAGAGTCATGGACACGGACAACAATATAGTGGTTACCAGAGGGAGATGGGTAAGGCGGGGAAAGTAGGTAAGGGTGAAGGGGGTCAAATATATGGTAATAGAAAGATTTAACGTTGAGTAGTAAACACACAATGCAGTATACATATGACGTATTACTGAATTGTACACTTAGAACCTATTTGATTTTATTAACCAATGTCACTCCAATCATTTTAATTAAAATTTTTTTAAAAAATTGCAAACGTTTAGCTAGACTGACCAAAAAAAGGATTCAAATTACTAGAATCAGAAGTAAATGAGAAGTTGCAACTGACCTTACAGAAATAAAAAGCCTTATAAATAAATTCTGTAAACAACTGTATGCCAACAAATTAGATAACTTAGATGAAATGAACAAATTCGCAAAAAGACACAAACTACTAAAACAAGAAGAACAGACAATATGCATAGACCTATAACAGGTGAAGAAATTGAATTAATAACCAAAAAAAAAAAAAAAAAAATACTTACAAAGAAAAGCCCCAGCTGAGATAGCTTCACTGCTGAATTCTACCAGACATTTAAAAAAGGACACTCATTCTTTATAAACGATTCCAAAAAAACAGAGTGGTCATACAGTTTTCAAGTGACAGAATTTAAATCCAGGCAATCTGGCTCCGGAGTCTACACTCTTGACCACTATATTAAGCTATCTCTCTGAGTAACTGAATAAATTTGAACGCATTATAGGACATCAAGCTGTTACTCTGTATCATCTAACTTTTGTAGTTTACCTTGGTATTTGTGATTTACCTGGTCTATATAGAAAAAGGTTGATTTGGGGACTCCAGAGAAAATCATTTATGTAACTGATAAGGTTGCTGTATTTCATTCATGGAACAAAAAAGCATGGCACCTACTAAAGCTCTTTATAAGTTTTTATTTCAATGATTTCTCACAATAACCCCATGAGATAGGTACTTTATTACTTCCATTTTCTAGATGAGAAAACTGAGGCCCCAAGGCAGTCATCCAGATAGAAAATGGCAGGGCCTAGATTTAAACCACAAACTGTCTGAACCCTATAGAACCACCTTTCCACTAGAGAGAGCCACCTCTCTTGTGTGGCTAGTCAGTCTCATGCTTGACCCCTGTGACAGAGAGCTCCTGGCAAGCAGATGCCCAGTCCTATTATTCACCTGTGTGCCCTCTCTGGCTGATGGGCAAGTAAGGGGAATGCTCCTTCATTATCTACTGATTGAATAAACAGCTATCCAAAACTGATGGTTAATAACCTCTCAATTTAGATACTTTATTCCTACTCAATTACCATTTAGTACATCTCCTGACTACATCATATTCTCTTGTGGTTTAATTTCACGTTGTCTTGTACAGTAATATGCTGTACAGGCTTGTACTCTAGAAGCAATGGACTAAAGCATACAGCGTAGATGTGCACATAATAGGCTATAACATCTAGGTTTGTGTAAGTGTATACTCAATGATGTTTGCACAACAAAATCACCTAATGACACATTTTTCAGAACACATCCCTGTTAAGTGGCACATTGCTGTAGTTATAATATGTAGTTTACACATACTTATCCCTCAAAATAAAAGCAAGGAAACATAGGGATTTTAAATAGGAAGATTGCTTTTACACTCCAAATTAAGAATGCCTTCTTTTATTTTGGAAATATCCTAAAACTACACTTTCAGCCATACGAAACAACAGTTGCACTAAGCTAAATACTATATGAAATTCCATTTCCTCAAGGAAATAAGGTACCTGACAGAAAATTTTAGCTAGAACATTTTCTGAATACATACACAAAATACAGTAACCTTTAAGTTACTATAGGTTAGCACTACAGATGGCTAAACTAAACTCTTCCCCTAAGGAATTAAAGACCACTTTAGGGCAGTGATCCATATGCTAGTCTCTGAATCAGCCTCAACTGGAAACTCTATTAAATGCAGAATAACCCTAAATATTTTGGGGGGAAAAAACACAATAATTTTCAAGGTAATTATTCCTATCAGAAACTAAAGCAACAAATAAACACAAACATTTTAAAAGCTCTGATAGCCCTTTCAAAAATATAATATTAAAAAATGTGTGAAATCCATTTGTGTTCATTTTCAGTTAATATTAATCATTACTTGCTGGGGGAAGGGGATGATTAGTTATACTGTTGCCTTAAAGTTAATGGTTGATCTAGAATCTGAAAAACATGCTTACCACTTTTACTGGTTTAAACTGGCATGTGTGTACTTAGTTTTTATTTGTTAAATTCCTTTCTTTATATGTCTGTTCTTTCGTAAATTTACGTCTTTGCCCTAAAATATCAGTACTGGCTCAAAAATGCAAATCTGAATCCTTCTAATGGCTCCTGGTTGCATGGTTTATTAGAGTAGCTTTGGAAGAAGTGCACCAGAACTGGGTTAGTGTGCCCTTGGCCAACCAACTGCTTGTCTTTGGGCCTTGGTTTCCTCCCTTATAAAATGGGAAAAATAATCATATCAACCTTAAAAGATTGTTGTGAGGACTGAAGACCTTGAGCAGGACCTGGTAAAGAGTGAGAAGATCTGGCCCTACTTCCCTCCTTTACACCTCAAGTTGCCTGAACATACCAAGCTATTTCATGTCTCTATCCTGTCTTTACATAGGTTTCTGACTTAAAATGACCTCTCCTGCCACAAAGTTCCCCAATCCTACTTCCTTGGATCTGTCTGACAAATGCTCACCCGTTATTCAAGATCCACCTCCAGGATCACATTCTTCACAGAGGAATATTTCTTACCCTGTTTTCTAGTTATTCCTTAACCAGGCTCCAAGAATGCTAAAGGAAGGACCAATGGTTCATTCACATATATTTCTCAGCACTTAGAAAAATTCCTAGTACATGGTAGATGGTCAATAATGACTGCAGAATGCACAGAATTGGGTTTTCCACCACACCACAGCATCAACAAAGTATCAAATGTGGAATAAACTAAGACAGAGCCTTGGCTAACACTATACCCACAGTTAGATAAGCATCAGATTCTTTTAGATTTTGGTTCAAGGTGAATTTTTTTAAAGTCACCTTATTGTACGCAGCTAGGCCACTGTACTCACGGAAAACACTGGTAGGAGTTAATGTTCTTGTCATTTTCATTTTTTCTTCCATGGCAGCATCCTGCTTTGGATTTAGATTATATGCTAACTTCCCTGGGCCTGTTTCCAAACAATAGAGTACAGTGATGTACTTTTCCTTTCAAATGCAAGGGTGCCAGCTATTGTGCTAGCCCCTGTCACTCACCTCAGCCACCTGCTGGGTCCCCACTCTGTGCTGAACCAGCCCCTCCATATTTGTAGCCATGGTGAAGCAAGATCATTAGAGAATCTGTTTGGAAAGATGCAGCGACTGCTATCAGGTGGGGAGAAACCAGGCTACTTGAAAAATATCAACAATAAAAATTCATCTTTGGTACTGTCTTGTGCAGTTTTTGCCCTCTCTAGAGATAAAAGATAGAGCTAGCAGGCTAAGCCTATCTAGATATGCTGCACCAGCTTCTTCATTTAAAGGTACAAAAATTAATTAGTACAAACATTTCAATTTGGAAACAAGACTTCCCCTGGTAAATACAAAGATGAATTTGGAACTTTAATTATCAGGTCTCTTGGGTTTTAACAGCTTGGTTCTCCTCTCAGGGAGGTGGGAATCACACCTTTTTGGATAGCTCCCTGTCACAGTATGCTGAATAGGAAGGTGGCTATCTGAGAAAGATGTGAGATCAACTCCAGATACACAGCACTAGATTGCTATCATCAACTATACTCCTGTTACTAGTGGCAATATGAGAAGCATAACCCTACCAAGGTGCTAACTTACTTCACTCATTGGTTGAAAGGCGAATACTATCACTAAGAAAGAAAGAAAAGAAAGGGACTGCATTACCAAAGTGGGCTAAGAGTACAGGACACATAAATTTATCAATTTATATTTTTAAGTCCTCATTAAATTAGAAAATCAGATAATTCAGCTTCCTATTAATAGAAAAAATAGTGCCATCATTTGTAAAAATTGAGGAAAATCATCTAAAGAGCAAAAAAGTGTGCTAACCTCCTGGGTCAGGATCACTTGGGTGCTAGCACTGTTGACGAAACAGACGCCTTTGGTCTCTTGAGGTCGTAAACATAGCTCCCCTGAATAGTTCCTAAATCTCTTCCATTAACTCTACCACAATGAATTCAGGATACAGGAATTCCACTTTGTACCTAATTCCTGGACAAACCAGAAAGACTTCTTTATTGACTGTACAAGTCCCATAGTTAATAGGAGAATAAAGCTCTACATAATTTATTTCCAGCATTTACATATAAAAACTATGTGGTTCTACCAAGATACACACAAATGAATACACAGTTCATTTGCCTAGCCCTTTATCAAACAAAAACTGGACTATTTTGCAATGCAATTTTACAAAACACTTTCCTGTAGTCCTTATCTAAAGTATTATACTTATAAACACTAACTCTATGAATCTTTTTTACTCTGATAACTTTCTATATTATTCTATTCACTATTAGATAGTCCCTTCTATGATCATAATCCTCCTTCAAATTATTTTATTGCCAAAATGGTAATGAAAGAGAAATGGGTGCAGGAAAACATGACTGAGAAATGTAAAACACCTGGCCCCCTTTAAGGTGTCACAATACTGTAAGAGCAGGTACTGCACCAACTACTACAATGATTCCAGGTCACAAATATCAGTGATTTATCTTCACACAAGACAAGGTCTGAAACTGTGGAGATGGTTTCTTTTAATGAGTAGTTAAGACTTTTAACTTTTACTTGTTTACTCTTTGCCGTTGTTGTTTCTAGAAGAAAAAGCATGAACACTCTGGTGTTTTCCCCTAGTTAGTCTGGTTCCAACTTACAGAAAGAGGGAAAAAGCACAGGTACCAAAAAAGTCAATTGACTGTGGTTAAAAATACAATTATTACATGTGAAAAGTCTAGAATTCTATTTTTTTCCCTCAGAACAGTAAGAGCTCTCTAGTAAATAAAATGGATAAAGATAGCTAATAGGTATTATATATTAATGAAATCCAAACACACAGCTGCAACTATTAATTTTATCATTTTAGGTGTTAATAGCACTCTGTTGCTGTTATTAATTGTAGTTTGATGCAAGAAATATATGAATTTGAATATCACAAAAATATCATTAGGAAAATATTGAGTAGTTATAGAAATAAGAGTACTAGAAAGGCATTATCTTTCTATTGAGTTTCCTTAAAAGAGGTAGCTTGATCCTTAAGTTCTGAGTTGAAGTATATTTATACATGGCTGTCTATGATAGAGACAACTCAGTAACTCAGAAAACTGTAATGACTCACTTTAACTCTAAATTTGCATAACAATCAATCTCAGATAGGGCTAGGGGGGCGGGCTCCAAGATATTGCTAATGACCAGTGATTATAGATACTAGGTCAAAGAGAAGTAGCAGTTAACCTGCTTAGCTTAGAAAAGCTAAATATCCTGCATATTAATTCTTTGTTGATTATATAAAATTATAAATATCTTTTCCTACTCGGTAGCACACGATTACTTTCTTTTGAAGAAGTTCTTAAATTTAATAGGACTGAACTTGTCAATATATTTTTTTATAGTTTATAGTTATGTATTATTTATGAAAATCCTCTCCTACCCCAGGGTCATAATTTTTATGTATTTTCTTATAAATGTTTAAGAGTTTTATCCTTCACATTTAAGTCCTCGCCCATCTGCAAATTGATTCTTGAGTTTAATTAGGAGAATGAATCCAATTAATTTTCTTCCTGTACGAATAATCAATTTTCTAGCATCATTTTTAAATCTATCCTTTTCTCCAATAATCTGCAACACCACCTCTGCCATATCTCAGGCTTCCCTGTATGTGTGGATATAATCCTAGGTTCTCTATTTTATTTCACTACTGTTCTACTTATCTTTCTCCATGTCACTACTATCTTATTAACGCAGCTTTGTAGTAAATCTTGCTGTTAGGGCAAATGTGCCCCATCGTGCTCATTTTTACACACCAACTTCCAGGACCATCTCAAACAGTCAAGACCCAGAGCAGCAACCTTTCTTTATACACTTGAATTCTTAGAATTCTTGATCTCACTGTTGGTTTTCTGCCTCCAAAGCAGCTTTAGGCATCAACAGCAGCTTTGGGAACTGCTTAAAAATGAGCAAGGAGGAATGTGCACCTTCTGGAAAAATAAGCAGAGACAAAAAGTGAGAGTAAAAGTGTGAGAGAGAAACTGAAAAAGAAACTATGGAAAGCATGTGCTTTCAATATTAAATCCAGTGACAGCAGATAAGTGAGAGTAATTTCAAAAAAATATTTTCCATTTCATCATTTTTGAAAATATGATGTTGTCATAAATCATATCTTACCCTCATATATAAGTAAGACAGAGACTTCTTCTCCCAGGATATCACAATGTAAGAAGTGGAACAAAATCCTCAAGTGATGTCAAGAAGTGAGGGAAAACATTTAACTCAGTACATAAGGAAAAAAATAAAGATAACGTCAGGAGGTAAGACTCTGACCTGAGAGTTTCTCTTACTGCTACCACAGCCTAGGTGGATCCAGAGACAGAAAGATCACATAGTAGGAAGGAAAGGTAGAACGCTTTGGAAAGAGTATTGGGTCTTCCCCTAGAATAAGCTCCAGGCAGCAGTGTGTTGTGTCCACGTGTAGTTTGAAAAACCACAGTCACTAGCATAATATAATTTTGCCTTTGAAGTCTGAAAAAAAGAAGCTAAGAACCTTTTTTTTTTTTTTTGATACTACAAATTAGACAAAGTACCTAAAAACAACCTTCTTGGCTAGTGGAGCTAAGCATGATGATACTGATAGTAACTACCACTTACCGAGTGGTTAATATATACCAGGCACTGTATTAGTAAGCACTATGGATAGAACACTAAGGTAGCTCTTGGTATAGAAATATGAGGTCCTCAAAGGCTGGTATTTGACTCCCTCAGTTCCCTAACCTTCAAAAATTTCCCCCCACACGACAATGTTCCCAGAAGAGAAACTGATTAGTTGCCAAAAAAGTTATAAGACCAAGTATCTTAAATAAATGACAACAACAAGAGAACAAAAAAACCTGCTACAGAATATTTTCCTATGGTAGTTTTAAACTAATCATGTTTGACCACAACCAATCCTTTTTAAGCAACTGCTATAAAATAGTCAATTAACTGACTGCTGAGAATTACTAACAACAATAAAAAGAAGAAAAAGAGGGGAAGGAGGAGAAAATCTTTGTCCTTGAAGAACTTTGGAATGAAACCAATAATAGCTATGCAATATAAATGTTACAATGTATCCCCAAAGGAAGCATCACCCTCTGCCTGTGGGAGCCAATGACAATTTTATAGGAGAGGAGGTACTTAAACTGCATCTTGATGGAAGAATGGAAATTCAGCAAGCAAAGAGAGGAAGGATGGGGGAGAGAGAGTTCAAAGCAGAGAACAGCTCATACAAACTGGCAGGTATGAAGGAGAATGCCACACTTGAGAAAGAGCAGGCAATCTGGTGGGAAACTGTTGGAGAGGTCGGGAAGGAAAGAGGCTGAGACTGCAGAAAACAGAGATCAAAGTTTTAGCAGAGAAATGAAGTGATCACATCTGGATCTTCAAAAAAAAAAAAAAAATCCTTTGGGGCAACGGCGTGGAGATAGAAAAGGAGACTGTACACAGGAAGCCAGTTAGAAAGTGGTGGTAACAAAGACTAGGGATAAAGGCAGAGTCTTAAACGTAATTTGATGGGGCAACGGCGTGGAGATAGAAAAGGAGACTGTACACAGGAAGCCAGTTAGAAAGTGGTGGTAACAAAGACTAGGGATAAAGGCAGAGTCTTAAACGTAATTTGAACTAGTAAGTTTTTCCTGTTTAACACATGAATGAAAACAGGGCATAGTACATAAAAACTATATATACAGACTACAGAATGATGAAAGTAAAATTATTATTGCTTGGCCTTATGTGGTGGTAGATTTTATAACAAATTCTTTCAAATATAAGTAGATCAAAATCACTCTTTTAACAACAAAGAAGCAGAGAACACAATGGTGATTTTGAATCAACTCTTTTAGGCTCACAAAAAGTGTACAGCTGACAAAACTTTGCAACCAGGGTTTTTAGTTAAGCAGAGCTACAGACTCCACTGCAGTGAAAACTGGGCTCCAACTACCAACACCTAAATCCTTGGTCAGTTTCCAGGACAGCTCAGCTGCACCCTTCACAGGGGCAGGCTTGGGAGCCAGGGTCTCAAATAACAACAAACAAGCCCTGGGACAAGGCAGGCTGTCT